CAGAAAAACACGTAAGCAGTTACATTTCACATATGCTTAATACGTATGCTCAATTATTGTATGCTCAAAAGCATTTTGTACTGTTTTTATAGTACACTATTTTGGGGTTACATTTTGTATTTTTTATTGAATATTCACATGCGTTAGCCTTTGAGGCTGTTGGCAAAAGGTTAAGGGATATACAATTCATTTTATAATTGAAGAGTTGAAGAAACAAAATGCAGCTAATGTATCCTAAGAAAAATAAATTAAATTGCTTTGGTTGAGGCGAGCTTTATTGCAGAAGAAAAAGGCTAAAAAGGATGAAAGAAATGTTTCCGAATTTTTTATAATTCTGTTTTGGTGAGGGTTGTGAATAAGTGAATGTGAATAACTAATGAAAGAAGTTAGTGTCAACGTAAGCTAAAGATATTCTGTAACGTGATATTCTGTATTATTATAACGTAGCTAAAGATATTCTGTTTAGCATTTTTTTTCCAATGATGGTTTCATTTTCATTATATTTGATCGTATGCTCAAAGCATTTTGTAATTTTTAAAAGCATTTTATATTGGGGTAACATTTTGTATTGTAACTACAATAATTTTGATTCTTGACGCTCGAACGTGTGTCTGCCATATTTGCGAGCAGTCACTCAAGTGGTGTTCTTTTTGTGTCTCATTTCATTGTAAACATTTACTTTTATATAATAGATTGTATTCTTTATATTGTTTTGAGTACTTTCAATGTTTGTTTGAGAAAGAACCATGCAAAATATTTTGATAGAATTCCGCAGACTGTGAAGTCTAGTGGATTACGATGATACATCATTCTGGTCATGAACTGTAGTTCACGTAAAATCTTACGAGCCTCGCTCGCCTGTCAGTCAGGGTTGCCAGACGCGTTGCGAGATCTTTTCCCACCATTACTATGGAATTTCCCCAAATAACCACTCCATTGAAACAAAATTCTCCAACTTTAAAACGAAAAGAACTCTCCAAATTATGAACCAACGACACGAGCAGTCCCTGATGATTCCATTGGCTGTCTCCTTCAACTCGGATAATTCAAATCAACTAATCATCGTCCTCTAAGCCGCTCGAAGCCGTGTACTATCTTCATTTTTCTTATGATTCTCTTTCTATACATGCCCGTCAATTTTTTACTCTTTTTGATACACAAAAATGAGAGACAATGATATCTATTGTTTCTCTTTTATTCATAATAATTGAGAGAAAAAAATTATATCTCGATTGCGAATGAAAATAAATTCCCCAAAATATCCCCAAACATTTTCCTGTTAATTTATGTTCCCCATTATTTCCCCACTACGTACAAATATCCCGATTTTGGGGACACAATTCTCCAGTCTGGCAACCCTATTGTCAATTACCATAGGCTACAAGCATTATAAGCCTCCCGCGTTTTTGTAACAATCTTAGTTTTACAACGTCAATTATGTGTGATGTAATCGTGGGCTGGCTGGCTCAAACATAATAATGTCTAAATAAAAAACACTTTCAGCTTTGTCAAAACAAGCCCCCGGGTAATTAAAAGTGTAAAGTGAAGTTAGCGGGAAGTATCCTTGACTTCTTGTAAATCATCTTCTTGGACGAACTTTACTATTGTCATCGCATTTAAGTTTATCATTCTTTAGGTCTTTTCTTCCTCTGTCGTTTTGGAGTGCATTAGAAATGTTCAATACGAATGCCCTGATGTGATTTGTTTCCTTGTTTAAGACCCTTTCAAGCACAAGAATGTGCTATCACTGAATGTAGCAAACAAGTTCAGTATCTTTTTCTTGTTACTGAAGGTTCTCGATGATACGAATTTGTGTATTTTAATTTTTTTAATAACTTGAAATCAGTGTCGTTTCTCTTTCACTTTTTTAATACATCTGAAATTCTATTATGCACTGTCGTTAATACGTTGAAATGCGCATGGCGGCGACTTTAAGAAGATTGACGTCACTTTATACGTGGGAATGACACAGGACACATGGTTAGGTATGAGTAAAACTTCTAATTACTAAATACTTAATATAATTTATTTTGTATAATACATTTTTACTACAAATAAGTGAACATATCTGTTTTGCTTCAGTCCTTGCTTTTCAATCTATTTGACAATTATCGTTTGTTAAACGTTGCGTGACCAAAAAAGTAAAGGGCAAAAATTCAGTTCATCAGGTTAATTATGTGCATTTTCAAGTGTTTCATAAGTAACTACTTATTATGTATATATTATATACATTTTAATTACAAGTAGCTCACTGAAACGACAATACATACACTAATGGCGCTTTCAGATAAAGGCCTCTTCCAAACTAACTTTCATGTAAGCTTTGCAGATCTTTATTGTTCAATTTCTTCTAAAACGTCATTACAGAATGTCGTTGTAGCACTCTGATCGCTATCATGAAAGTCTCCATATCCTTTGCATTGCTTGTGTCCGGAGATTATATCTCTCTCGTTAGTCCTCAATAGATGGCAGATGAGTGTATTTTATTGACTTTTATTATGGCTCTAATGCAATGTTTAAAAACAAAACACACAGAAGACTGTCTCTAATTGTCTAGTCATCGTCTGTCTAGAATAATGGAAGTATGTGACCGACGTTTGTGAAAAATATTTTTTAATCACAGTGACAGATGACAGTGACACATGTATGTATTCTCTGTCGATTTTTCTGTGCATTTCTTATTTCATTACAACACATAATGATATCTGCGATGAAGTTCGATAGACTTTTACATAACTGTTCACAAGAAAAATACAATCACTTCATTCCATTATTCTAGACATATGCCTCACTAGCACCCGTATTTTGTTACAGTGACATTCCTTCTTCGTAATTCTAAAACCAAGCGTTTTCGTCACACTCTTGAACCCTCCATACTGTTTACTGCATTATTTTGGTATATAAAAAGTTACATACAGTATTACAAATACTACGAATAGCTTGGAATCTATGCAGAGGGGCCTTCTCGAAAGGAGGAAGTTGAAAAACGGAAAGAGCAAAGGAGGAAAGTTCGGCTGAAACGTATGCCGCACCTTGTGCGAGTGTGAAAACTTGGAGCGAGACACCAGAAAGTATATTTGTCTTTCGACAGTGTTTCGCACGTTAAACTATGCCCTCTCAATAAGGAGATGTGTGGGAAGGTCAGGTGTGGTCGATACGCGATTCACACTTGATCTTTTTAACATTTATGGGTAACTAGATACCCTCTTCCTCCAACTCTGAACTTTTCTGCTCTTCCTTGCTGTGTTCACAGATATTATGCGACGCACATCCACTACCTTCCTACGTCACCAAAAAAAGCTGTGTCGAGAAGAAAGTGTCGTACAACACAACTATGAAGATGCTCAAATAATATATTAGAGATAGAATTAAGAACGTTTGTTGGCTATGAAATTAAAAGCTTAAATAATTATTTTTTTAACAATACGCAGTCAAACTCATTATTTTCTCCCATTCGGCACTGGTGTATTACTAAGCATAAAATGTGATGTATATGACATTTGTAATGATTAGTTGTTCTGAAAATTAAGTATTTGGAAGCAAACAAACCACGATTTAAATGAACACCCCTCTTAGGGAAGACTATTTCTGTGTCCAGTCAATTCCTTATCTGAACCCCAGGAGCAATGTAATGCATACATTATTCTGAAAGTATATCTCTCTATGCAATCGACAACTTACAATAAATTTAACAGTTTATAAAATATTTCAGGTAGGCTCTAGTCTTTGGGTATTCTACGCCCATGTCCTATCGAGCAAATGAAATCCACACCAGCCTCCAAAGACGAGGCGAGCCCCGTGGTTGGCGCAATGCCGACTCCGCTACCCCCGCGGAACCGAACAGAGGCCCCGGGGGACTACTTGACCCTTGGCGTACCCGCGCTCGCGACTCTCTCGCAACCACTTCGCGCCCACCGCCTCGCGGCCGTCGGGGAAGATTCGTTCCACGCGTAGGACGGACCGGAATGGCACACGACCATGGCGAGGGGCCAGGACGAAAACAGAGGAGGTGCAACCTCCCCCCCCCTAAATACGCGAGAACGCGTTCAGTTAACGGAAGCGAACATCTACGGTTCATCGCGTGTCAGCTCGCAGTAAGAAAAAGATTTGATTCAAGTGATTCACACGTTTGATTGATTCGTTCTTTAATTTTAATTTATCGATAAATATTACTCTGGGTTGTCTAGTGAAATTCTTGTTCAGATATACCGGTGGAATACACGTGAAAAAAGTTATGTATTTAGAATTTCATTTCTAAAAATTGTATATGTCTGCCTGGCGAAGATTCTACAATCTGCCTATTTTCAAATAAAGAAGTTCTGGCATTCCGGCGATAATTTATCTGTTCTGTTTAACGGAAGTAAAATGCCTCCATCGCGAAACGACTGACAACTTTTGTTAACGATTCCTAAAGCTTCAATAAACATCTTGTATTAAATTTCTAAAGATTGAATAATCAAGATGTAGGATTTGAGCTCACATCACAGGTGTAGTATAAACACATATAAAAAAGTTTGAAAGTGTGAATTATCAATGGAAGTGAACAAAAATTATTGAAATACGGTTTTAGAAAACGAACCAGAAAAGTTAATATTTTAAATACTGCATCTTTTCACACTTTGTGAACATTTATGCATAGTACTATTTACTGTTATCCTTCGTTTTCGGCAAACCAGCTCATTTCGCTCCAAAAAGGTTTGAAAATAAGACTTTGAATTAGCATTTGCTTCTATTGGCGTCACTTCAAGAAGAGCTACAGATATGCATAATTTTTCCATAAATGTTCACGTGTCTTAAAGTGGCCACGGCATTTCATTCGTTCAAACAGCCGGTCACACAGATATATGAAGATGATGACGCTCAACACGCGCATACAAGTATTCAATTTTGAGATTAAAGCAACAACTTCATGTCCTGCTTCCCGCCTGATTCTCCTTCGGTTTTCATTTAGCAATCACTTAAACGCCGACTTACTATTTCTACTACACAGTAGGTCTGAAATCTAGAAGAAGAAAAGGCGACGGAAATATATTTTTATTCAAATGTATGTAAAGAAAAAACGTTGTGGCCAAATATGGATACACAACTTGACAAAACTTTGGGCTCTTCGAGAAATAACGTTCTGAAGAAATCCATCCGAATGCCATCATCTTCTCCACATGGTGCCAGCGTCTCCTGCACGTTTCAGTCGACAATCACAAAAACTGCAGCCAGTCAATTTCATGACTTTAAACCGATCGGTTTGCCAGTTGAAGAAAAGAAGACGGAATTGTTTGAACATCAAGAACACCTTTAGAGAGTGACTGATAAAAGGACGAGTACAGTTTGATGGGTCCTTTGGGTTGTATTTTATTCTTCCAAAACATTCCAACTTCTGCTTCGGCAACATGTCTCTCAGGTTACCAACGGCGATCCCGAAAACTGCAAGCGACTGGCACCCAGTTCGGAAATCGATCAGTTTTCCAGTAGAAACATAGAAGACAGATGCAAATGTTTTTATAGCAGGTACAACTCTAAAGAGTGTCCGAAAATTTCTGGCGCAAGAAGGTACAAATGAAGCTTGTTTGCTCCTTTGGATTAAGGTTTGGTTCTTCGGGGAATGTACTTATCACAGTAAGTCACTCCATCTTCTTCTTCTTCTCCTCGGCATTCTCCTTTAGGCAAATAGCAAGCAACCAAATTTCATGACTGGAACCCAATCAGTCTTTCCAGCTGAAGTAAAGGAGAGACATTCAGTTGCTTTTACGGCAGGTACAACTACGTAGAGTGTCCAATGAGAGGAGGAGACACCTGCACCAGGCATCTTTTGCGGAGCGGACGACGTGCGTGGGGCGGCGGGGCGGGCGGCGGACGGAGGACCGGGCGAGCGCCTACGCGTGCTTCCTGCGGGGCAGCAGCGGCTGAAGCGGGGCGGAGGACATCCTTCGCGGAGACGGGTCCCGCGCGGCGGCGGGCTTCGACATGAGGTACGTGCGGACGTAGAAGCGCCCGAACAGGTACAGGAAGAACAGGGCGTTGGTGGAGAGCAGGGCAACGATGGGCATGGGGTAGTTGCACGGAGTGAAGAACAGCTGCACCAGGTGCAGGAACACCACGACGAACTGCACCTGCGAGCACACAAAACAAAGAAACGCGGTTTAGTGGCAGTGGCAGAAAAGCCATGAGCTTTGACTTATAAGACCTGTTTTTCGTGTACACGTTGGCTTACGTTGGCTGTTTTAAGTCAAATACTGTATTTTCAGTTTCAGTTAGGTAATAAATGAAGACGAATATTTTTTTAGGTGTTAAGAGCTGAAAGTGCTACTATTTATTTATCGAGAAAATATTTAATTAAATATTTTAGTGTTTCCTACGCAGTTGGCAATGTAATAACCTTCAGTTTATTAGGTATGTGATAATGGTACAGCTACATGAACAAGAATCGCAGAAAATATTCGATTTCTACAAGTTTTCTTAACAACTATTAATATGCGCTTTTCGCGCTTCACATATTTTAGACTGTTAGAATTCCGTTTGACTTATCAGAATCGATTAATTTTCCTTAATGAATGAACGCAAGGTTTTGCTAGGTACCCAAGGTACCGATGTTTAAAGGCGATTTCAAAATATTCTTTTTTACGATACCAAACTATTACTGGATGATTTCTACGCAAAATGCTACAGTTAGTAAAGTATTACCTATCTTAAAATAATGGAATGAATAAAACTAGCGAATGAAAGGTGATTACAGGATACTGTTATTATCAATTAATAAAGAATAGTATGTTTTACGGGAGGTATTACCACATTAATATTTAATACTACCATAAAGAAAAGATATTAATGCAGACTTTCCCCCATGGCAATGCCAACAGATAATGACAATAATACAAAAAGTCTCCTCCACACCTAATTGTTAGTCCCCTTTTAGTCAGTGGCCGCTCTAAAGGAAGTAGTGAGAGAGGACACTTCTTGTTAGTATGCTTTTATGGCGTATGTTTTTAATCAATTCAGGACTCTAGTAAGAGGTAAAGTCAAGCATGACAGAGATCTAAAATTAAAAGGTCATGTCTTATATTTTTATTGTGTTGCTTTAGATTTTTATATTCAATATTTAGCACAACTTTTGTAACTAAAAATGGACAAAAGACAACCCCTATTTATTTATTTATTTATTTATTTATTTATTTATTTATTTATTTATTTATTTATTTATTTATTTATTTGCTTGTTTATTTATTTTTATAAAAAATAAAAACTGTAGATGAAGTATCGGAAGTATAAACCGCGCAAGTTTCCTTGAGATCCAGAATCCCTACTCCCTCATTTTTCTATAAATAGTCAAATGATGAATAGTACCATTAAAGTGTTCTTAGCAATATTTGAAAACTGGAAATAATTGCGTATGTTAATTAAGAAAATTATAAGTTGTTTGTTTTCAGTCTCACTGACGTCAACGAGCTTTCATATCGACCTTGCTTATCCCCTCGAACTCCTCAGAAAATCTGCATTGCTGTATTTTCATTTCTCATGAACATAAATCTAGCAAAGTATAAAGATATTTTAATACATCAATATAATTAATTACAAAGCATTTTTTTTGTTTTTAAGGGTTCTGACGTTAGCTTATATAAATAAATTGTATTATAACTTATTAATTTATAATAAAAAAGAATATGCGGACGTACAATTTAACAAATAGTCTGTATTATAAAATTGACAATTTCTGTCTGCAAAAAATTACAGTAAATGCAGATAATTAACCCACTATTTCTAAATTCATGGTACCAATAAAAACATAAAATAGTGCATATTCACTTGTTGGTCTTATTTTTTTATATTTTAACTTGCTATCAATAACGAAAATGTAATGTATTTTCAAAGGACTTCGGATTCAGTCTCATTTACCCATATTTATTAAAAGTAAAAGTTATACTTGCATCGTTTCTGAATTTTGCAAATATTGCACAACTGAAAATTCTGTATTAGTGTCTGATTTATTTAGCAATGAAAATGGCTTTATTTGGTACTTCACACTGGAAATTTTATTTAGCGTCAAGCAGCCTAAACGATCACTCACAATACGGAAGGTTTCCGTGAGCGTAACCATTATTCCACATCTAAAAACCACCTCAATAGAGCACCAGATGACTGAAATAGAGCAACAGAGGAACATCGCAACTGCGATAAGTGTATGCAATCATTGCTAGTCACATGTAGCACAGAATATTTCATGGTGACAGATGATACTCTTCCGTTATTCTTTAAGAAATGCCGGATTGCATGAGACATAACTGAATTTATGTGTCACACATGAATCAGACCCCTCGATGATATGCACAGGTACACCCACAAGATTATCCGGTGCTTATAATGTCAACCAATTCCGATAGCGTCGAACGTTAACCCTGGGAACAAACCTGTATAAATGGTCTCGTACATTACCAACAAGGGGTCCTACAGAGCACACAAATCAAATTTTGATTTTATTTGTTTTCGACGATTTAAATAAATTGGTATACCAAATAGTGTGTGTATTCATTTAAAACAACATTGTTTATTTTCTTTTTTTCATTTTTCTATTTTTTCCTTTTGTTTTTGAGAAATTGTCCTCGGAAATTTCGGCAATGGTCAATGAGAACAGTCTTTTTTCCTCCTGCGCCGTTGAGCAGCTCAGAGCGGTCGCACCCACAGCCTTTTAACTCGCATACTAACTCGCGACAGCGCTAACAGTGGCACGCTCTATCCTCGCACCTCTTCCAGGAACTAAAATGACAAACGACTGGCAACGTTCTTAAAAACGCGCGTGGGCCAGGCGCAAGCTCGCGAGAAACAAATAGGCGCGCCCAGTGGGAAATATCTCGCTAATGTTAGCGTTTTATACAGCTACTGTTCTTTTATGTATAGGTTATTGTTATTTTTATTATTGTAAATAATTAATTACTGTGTATTTCCTACTTCTCACAACAGTTTATCAGAACAGTTGGCAGACGTTACGTCAAACTGTACCGTGCCACTCTCTTCTTTCCACCCTGCAGATTTATCCACAATTCCAATGGAGAACCGTTTTTTCTACATTATTGGCCGGGAGAACCTAGGGTTTGAGTTCATACGTTAGTGAATTTTCTGCACTAGCTTCATAGCTTTGTCAAATTCAACCATCCAGAAGGATAATTCTAGAACATCTACGTGTTTACACAACCACACATCGGGAGGCCAGACAGAAGCTGACGTGTCCGATCTGGCAGGCTGCCACCGCGGGGAGATATCTGGAGAGGAAAACCTCGCAAACTGACGTGTAGGTCGGAGTAGGTCTCTCTCTTCATCGGAAAGGAGCACCCCCACTCACGGAATATAACACGTTTTGCCTTATTATTTACTAGGCTGTCCAGGTGACGCCGCGTCCATGGCGAAGGTGCCGACGTTTCGGTCGCCATTCTGCGACCTTCCTCAGGGCGTAATGCACTGCGAAGGGCCCTCAGGGCGCATCTGCGAGGAAGGTCGCAGAAAGGCGACCGAAACGTCGGCACCTTCACCATGGACGGCGGCGTTACCCGGACAGCCTAGTAAATAGTGACTCCGGCCGCGGAAGCCTACGCTCTCACGTATTGCCTTCTCAAGACTACAGTACCGGCAGCGTATAAGCAACTCTGACAGTTCGATGCGCTGTGGCCACACATTACTACACACACAGTACCACCTACATTGCAGATCTCAAAACAATAACAATTACTGACAGGCGACGACACGTCTTTATATCATGTTCATAAACGTCGCCTCAGCCGTCCCCAGCTTCGTGTGCGCAAGATGAGTGGCAACGCTGAACCCTGGCTGTGAGAAAGTAAACAAATCCTCGCAAGCCGATTGCTTCAAAGCAGGTCACATGACGTTCCACAGCACATTGGCGAGAGAACTGTCAGAGTCGTTGCCGGTACTGTAATCGCCTAAGCGGTTGACCCACTCGTTCACGCACTCCAACAGAGGGGTAATAGCCGCTGATGGCGACTGCGACTCGGGGCGGCACGGGGAGAAAGCTTTGCGCTACGCAATCCACCAACTGAATCCACACTTACACACCCGAGCGCCACAAAAGAGCTGGGGAATCGTACTGACGATGCAAGCAAATTCCTCTGGCCTACCGCCCGCAGACAGTAAAATGCTAATTGGGCCCATGCGCATTTTGAATAGCTTCCTTTCGTCTGCGCTCTCTCTCGTGGATTTTGGCGACACTGATCTAAGACTCTGGTAAGTGTAACTGTGCTTTACGTATTGTTTGAGATACGTTTCAATGAAAGTTTAGGACATATCTAGGGCGAAAAGATGATTCAGTGAGTGAACGTAAGAATAATTAATATCTACTTTAGTTTACGTACATTAGAATTAAATTGAGCAACTATAAAATAAATATCTTTATTGATGGCGAGGCTCAGGCCGTTTAGCCTGCTCTTCTGCCTGACCATTTTCAACAATTTTTATAAAATAGTTTATGAAAAGAAGGTCAAACAATCAGAAATAATCGATTTAGAAGAGGTCTTCTAGTACACTAGATTTTCAATACATTAATTAAAATATCTGTATGACGTGAAAGTACAGATAGTTCAGGCTAGCACCAAGTAATAAACTACTTATATTTCCGTAAGACTGCAACTTCATTAGCACAATTTTGTGTACCAAAATCTTTTTCACAACATTTGAGTGAAAACTTCGGGGTCGGTACATTCAGACTGTGAAAGTGTGAAAGAATCGAAAGAAAGTGGAGCATTTCCTTTCGAGACATTTCCGTATAAATTGTAGGTGTATTGATGTCAATAAAAATAGCCCGGGCAAGTCCTTCTCAAGACAGAGGGAAGCAGTATTTACGGGAGAGTTAAAGTCCTTCCGACCGTTGACAGGTGATTTCCTACCGGAGCAGATTGATGAAACAGTTTTGGGGCAAGATCCTTCGGTCCTATTCTTGGAGATTCGTGAACCACCATTATTTCAATACGAGTTTTAGCAATATTCAGTATTTACTTCGAATTTCATCACACAACAAATGGGTAGAAATGTTAGATTATAGTTATATTTGATACATTTTTTTCTAAAACGAGCCGTGGATCAGAAAGATCGATAAAATGAAATAAATAAATAAACGTAATATAGTTTAAAATTTTCAAATGTTACCTTCTTTTACAAATTTACAAATGTTCTTCGATAATTCCACACCACTTTTTCTTACCACCACAAACGATCTTACTGTTAATGGTCTTTATTTATTTCGTGGTGTTTGAACCATTGACTTCTATTAGATAATGTGTGTAAGAAGAATAATCTTGTGATAAGTCGAAAACTTTAAACTGTAAGCTGATCTCTGCATTTGACATATCTTTAACACAACTAAACTAAGCACGAATCGATACAATTATCGATAAATGCTCTGTGGAAACAAAATGAAACAAGGGTAACAAAAATCGATTTGGGTTTAGAAGACCTAAAAGATTTAGACACTCTTTGTTGTGCTCTTTTCATAACATATTCTACTTAAAATTTAGTTTGTTACTGATCTCAATGTGCACGAGTCTCCCTAGCACCCATAATGGCTTTCCAAGAACACGCAGGTTTCCAACGCGATTGTCTTCTATTAGAAGCCCAACATTATTTGCCATCTCACATCTTGCGTGTCTTTCAAATGTTGTTACCATTCTAAAGTGTTGTGTTATCTAGGTTATCCGGGACGAGCCGCGTCACTGACATGGTGGCTAACGTTTTGGCCAGCGAAATGTGGCCTTCATCAGAGCGTACTGCGGGCCACAATACGCTGGCCGAAACGTTAGCCACCATGTCAGTGACGCGGCTCGTCCCGCATAGCCTAGAGAACACAAACTCCGGCCTCGGAAGCCTACGCAACCATATTCTAAAGTGTTGTTTTCTATTGTGTTTATCTATAAACTTTTCATGTGTTAATCTGCCAGTCACCCTTATAAACACAGATTTGTTGTCGTCTCAGGCCACCTGTCGTCTCCTGGCGCTGTCTCGTCAGTGATCTCGTTCATCGTGCTTTCGCGATGTCGTAGTTGCAGCTCTGGTGCAAGGAACCGGTTTTCTGGGCAGCGTTTATGATACCCGTTCGCCTGGCTCGCCGTGTGGGCTTCTTTCGCCTGTGCTCCCTGCCCCCCTCTCTTTCCCCCTCTCCCTTTCCCTCTTTCTCTCTTTTTTTCTTTTTTTGTCTCTTCCGACCACAAATTCTCTCGGCACTCGCAGTATGTTCTACGATGCATTCAACTCACACAAACATGTCGACTCCTGTCAGCGCACTCCGTCTCCGAACTGGCGCTCAGGTTTCGAACGCTCTACTTACCCACGAATCGTCTCCACTTTACGGACAATTTAACAATTTAATCCGTCATTTCGTTCTATGTCGGGAGTTACAAGCAAATTGGTGCAATTATATGAATAAGTATACAAATATTGACGTTCAGCGTTTATGACAGAAATAAGAAAACGAAAGTATTCAGCTGTGTTTTAATGTATTCGAGACCTGTTAATCAGTTACATTCAGGAGTTTATATTTTTGTGTACTTAGTTTTGATTAAAAGTAGAAGAAAGATGAGAGGAATTACATTAGAATTACAAAATCTGACTATTGTAGAATGCGCTATTTCTAACAGAAAGAAAAACAACATACAATGTTTCAATACTTCACTTCAAGTCTAATTTGCAGAAATGTTTAACGTTTTTTTATCATAAACATTTAAAAAACCAATCCGATTGCATTCCTACGTACACTTCCCAACGCACTGCGTCGTTTTGAAGAAAACATGTTTTTATCGCTCTATTTTTTTTGCAAGCAACATAAACGGCGCATTTCCCTAAGCCGAAGTGCATTTCTGGCGCATCCCAGTTCATTTCCGCCAATTGTTCACGCGTAAATTGGTTCTCACCCAAATTGAATCGTTATCTCTTCCTTCCTTTGGAAACTATTAATTAGACGAAGATAAGGAAGTAATGAACTCAAATGACAGTGTGTTGCAATACATTAGAAAACGAGAAAATCCCAAATTAATGCAATACCTAAGTAGTCAATTAGCTAATTTTAATGTTGCTTATCATTAAAAATATGAAATTTGTTGTGGTGAAAGATTCTTTGGTGATAGTAGTAAACAGTTTTTAAAATGCAATTATAATCGTAGTAAATTGTTACGTATTATTCTCGTTGAAACAAATAATCTAATGCAAGCAATCTTTGACTTACTAACCGTGATTCTCATTATTATAATAGTATGAAGTTCTTTAATATTTGTTATATCAATCAGATATCGTTCATGCACCTTCTTCATGTCCGTGCTATTGAGAAATATGAGTTATGAAATAGAACTCTGACCAGATAGATTATACTCACCAACTGCAAGAGCGTGAGGTATTTCTTCCACCAGAGATATTTTTGGTACTGGGGTCCTAGCCCTGCTACCAGATAATATGAGTACATTACAACATGTACAAAGCTGTTGATTACTCCCAGAAGGGTGCCCTGACCACCTGTAAAAAAATATCTGCATTATACCTGGCAGTGTATACGTGTATATTATTTCCATATGAAGTACTTAAAATAATTGCAAATAGTAGAAAGCATAAAGGTTAGTTACTTAATTTTACTTTTAATCAATCCAAGTGTGTTTTTCATCCATTATTTGTTCTACCTTTCTACCTTGCCGAAAATATTTTCATTCTAAAATGAAAGTGACCCTCTCGAACCGTAAGAAATCATACAAAAAGACGTGGTTTATATTAGGTCAAGCATAATATTCTGTCCATTTCCAATTGTTAATTAGACAACCCGCTGGACAACTACACGTGACCCGCTTACGTGTTGCAAACTATTTTCAGGATAAAACATTTAAAAAACATAGGAATAAGAATCAGACAACTAATTTTTGTAATAACAGAGGACAGAAGTCATTTTGCATTTAAGATCAAATCCCTTATATTGTTCAAATAAATTTTAAATTTTCTTTTTTACGTTATATTTTCTTGTGCATTGATTCAATGGAATTCTTGGATATGAATCTTCCCGGTTCAGCAGTTTTTCAATAATGAAAACCAAATTATATCCTAAATATTCATCTATCACAATTTCCAAATAAGAAGAATTAAAATTAAAGGAAAAAGGCATAGTGTTGAAATAAAAACCACTGTATTTCATTGAGAAACAAAGTTGTAATTTAAATACATGTTGCATCGTACTCTTTCTATAACTGAGCACAAAAATATCACGGCTCGCATGAACCCTCTAGAATGTGCCGAAAGAAGGGAGAACAACGGCTCGAAAAAATCCTTCGTACGCCTTCCTTTGGAGGGGAAGTAAAGCCGGCTGTCCCACGTTGTAGATTAACTGCATGTAAAATATCCCCAAGCCCAAAAGAAATCTCTGAGCTAAATTCAAAATCTCCTGTTTTGTCACTCGAGAAATACCTTCTTTCTTTGCTAGATGGTGAAAGGAGCTTAGCGAAATTTGCTTGGTCAGACGGAAGTGCGGGTCTGATGGTCCGAGTCTCGTAAGACATTAACTACCTAGCTGTACTCCAGACACACTCTTCTCCATGCGCGCGCGCGCTTTGCTGCATGTGGTGGCGAAGCTGCAAGTTGCGCGAGGGCAATGCCGAAACAGCTGCCGAGGCCGCCCCGCCCACTACGCCCCTCCCCGCCCCCCTTCTTTCACATTTCCCACACCTCCCACGCCGCGCCGCGCAGCGCCGCACGTCAAGGGCAGACCCACTGCATGGGCAGGGGGGGGTGAGGAGCCCAGCCGGGTAGTGTTTCACGCACCCGCCCCCTTGGTATGGAGTACTTTACCCTTTTCTGTATCTAACATTCTCCCAGAAAAGGTTTAGATCAACTGCTTTGGAGGGAGGTCAGATATGAAAAATACGCAGTGTCCAGCCTTTGAGTCTCTGTGACGTACAGCTAATACTAAATCGTTTTTGTTTACATTTGAAATTAAGAACAATAGATGAGACTACTTAAAAAAGTGAAACACCCATGGGACATTAATTTATGTCATGGAAGGCATACATTATAAAATCGACAAAACATCGATTTCTAAATCAGGGCATTATAAATACGATTTTTCCTTACGTGTATATATATATATATATATATATATATATATATATGTAATTACGTATATTTTTAAGTTATAATGTATTTCAATCACGTATTTATAATTGGTTACATTTATCTAAAAGTTTTTTTTACATTAGTGAAACAGTTGGAAGCGCACACACACACACACACACACGCGCGCACACACACGCACACACACACACATATATATGTATATATACATATATATACATATATACATATACATATACATATATATATATACATATACATATATATACATATACATATATATACATATACATATATATACATATATATATATATATACATATATATATATATATACATATATATAAAGGTGTGATATGTATAGATATATGTATAGATAAATGTAACCAATTATAAATACGTGATTGAAATACATTATTACTTAAAAAATTACCACACTCGTAAATGTTCTAACCTCATCCCCGGAGAAAATTCCTGCACTCCATTGTCTGCGCGGGATGCAACTGCGAAGCCATGAGAACTGAATTCCTCCAAAGAATGGGAGTCGACATTTTTCTGATAGCGGAGATATTAGTTCATCTTACAATTCCCACACTTATGAGATACAATTGTTGCGCAAGTGGGAAATGGCCAAGTTATCGATTAATGTGTCTAAACACCGTTGTTTTTCGTTATCTGGTGGCGAACGAATCAAAAGTAATCAAGAACTTTGGGATTCCGAAGAGTGACAAATACGAATTGACAATAAGCATTTCATGTAGTAATTGGACCAGTGAATTCGTTTCTACGAGAGCGTGAGTATACAAAGTTATATTTTCAGGTACATAAACTTTTTGTAGAAGAAAATAATGTAAAACTAATCACATATTTGGCCACACTTTCCGTTTTCTGTACAACATCCATTTTTTTACTGTTAACTATAAAATATAAGATAGAATAGAATTTCAACAAATCAAAGAGGTACAATAATATTATAGTATTTTTTATATTTCTTTTTTTTTGTCTGAAATGATTGAAATGGTTCGAAGAGATGTTAATTTTTTGAAAATTGGTTTATAATTTAAAATTCAAGTGATTTTCAAGAATCAAAACAATCATAATAGTCTTCTAACCATCGACCTGTGAAAAAATACATTCCACGCCAACCCTTTTCTTGCCTATATTTTAATATTTTCATTTCTTCTGACATGATCGTTAGCTTAAATGAAATACGTACGCTACTGAATCTTACCTGGCAAAAATTTGGTGCCGATCCAAGCACAGATAGGCATCATCGTGTGATGCCAGAGGTGTAGAAACGACACTTGGTTGTTTTTCTTGCGTAGAACGAAGAAGACGGTGTCTAGAAGCTCCACGAGTTTGCACATTAGGTAGAGCCACACCGCTCGCGCCATCTGGGGAACAAGAAAACTTACTACTTTTTAGCCATCTCTGACGGGTACACAGACACTTTTTTTCTTTTTGTTATGCAAAATTCTTTTAAATAAATATGTCGATATTTTAAAAATAATTTACACTGTTCAGAAGGAACTTACGTAAAAAATGACACACAACGTTTCCAAACACGTTATTGTTTACTCTCCACTACATTTCATCAAAAAACGGAAGGTCTTGTAATTTTAACATCTCAACTATGTCCTGAAGGCAATAAACCCTCTTTTTAAATAACTAAAAATTTTGTAGTAGATTTTGAGTTCAAAGTTGAATACATCCTACTTTCTTATGATTTTAAATTTTGAGAATTACTAAAATATTAAAAGATGTCGCTACCAAATCCAAAATCTCCAACGTTGCACGAAATAAACTAGGGAGGAAGGTGATCTACTGTCAATATATACGGTAATATGCCTCTATTATATTATGTATTAAATATATTATAGAAGAATATTACCATGACTATCAGAAAACCTTGAATAATATTTTGTGTTTAGTTACTTACTTACTACGAAAGTTGCGCGATCATATATTTTAAACGTTAGGTTTACAATGAAGATAAATAACCTTAAATAACATTAAGAACTGTCAAGCATCGATAGTTTCATCTGCTTCGATTGTTTGTTTTGAGTTTTTACGCGCTTTGTTTGAATTGATTGAATTGCACGTATTAAGTAATAGCTGAGATGTTAGTAGCGCAGAAATTGCAATATTTCAATATTAAGTAAGTGCTTCCAATTATGACAGAAAATGTATGCTGTTGTATCAACATTAGTTATTTCATAGAAAAAAAAGTCAAATCAGAAAATGAGTTCGATATATCGAAATAATTTTCGATATATACAAATATTTTAACTCGAATTTCAAGGCCAAACATTATTAGATTTATAGAGAATATTGATATACAGAGGTTCGATACACGGAGGTCTGACTATGTTCTTACGAAATTTATAACTGGTATACAACGAGAGAACGATTTTGTTGTTCAGGCAAGCTTGCTTTCCGTGGTCACCTCGTGATGAGATACATCATACATACACAATACATTAGTATGCATTGATGTATTAAAAATAAGGTAACAGTAATGTCCTTGTGAACGTTCTCGAAGAAACTTTTGCATAATGTTTCCTAATTTGAAGGCGGTGACGAGGAATTTGTCGGTCTCTTCCATCTTTCTTTCAATCTGTGTTTTGAGTTTGTGGTTTCTTAGGAGTAAACAAAGAGTACTAAATCATGTACATATCCAATTCACACTTGTACGCAATTCCAAACCTGAACGATACATTGCGGCTAGCACATACACTTCCTAACTCGTACACAAAGTTTCACGCGACTCAACCTCTCTAGAAAAGTTTCGAAAAATAATACCTTACGTTTGTAATTTTACGTAAAATGAATTACGTAAGCGACTCGAAATTCTCACAGAACTGAGCAGTACAAGTAATTCTCTCTTCCCGAAATTTCTATCAATACAATTTGGTTATCCTACATTTATGTTTCTATCACGAATGGAAGGAATGTACAGTAGCAATGTATATTCTAGTAGGTTATTTTCACATGCTTCTGGAAACACAATGTCTAGTAAATGTATCCATGGCGGTATAAACATCACAACCGGATTCAGGTAAATATGCGATACTCTATAACAGTAAAAGTTGCATACGTATGTTGACTAAAGTAATTTTGCATATTTTTTTTTATTTTATGATGAGAAATGTTCTATTAGTAATTTAAGTAATTAACCAAGAATGCTAGTGTCTGAGTATCTTTGTGTATGACGATAACTTTGAAATACAATTAATAATAATAATAATAATAATAATAATAATAATAATAATAATAATAATAATAATAATAATAATTCGAAGGCATGGCAGTACAGGTAAATTTAGTATAAAACCTGTACATTACAATAATATAAACTCCATTATTATTTATTTATGTGATTTCAATGTTCATACACATTCAGAACACGATTTATCTCTTTCGAGAACTGCATTTGCCATAACATACTCACCCTCAATGCGGTGGGATTGTTTGAATAATCCACTGGTTGGCAGCGAAAACTGTATCCATTCCACCAACCCCCTTGAAGTCCCTGCAGAAAATAAAAGATTTTTGTTATGAAAACCTCAACAAAGTTGCTGCAATTTTAGTCTAACTCACACAGTTACTACAGAGTAATTCTGCTTAAACTCTTTTAAGCTTCCACTGTCTAAACGTATTTTTAAGAACGCTAATTAATATTAAATATTTGGAACGATTCATAAGTACTTTATTTTGTCAGGAAATTGAATTAGTTTAAATAAAATGAGACTGTAGTAGTATTATTCACTTGTATATTTATAATCAAAGTGATGCAGAGATAATATTTGGGTGATATTAATATATTATCACGTAATATTACAACTATTATTTCCATTATATTAATATTACAATTTTATTTATTGCTTTATTTTGAACACGCAATAAGTATATCGAAAATATTGCACATAATAAGATATAAGACTTTCTAGTGTCATTTGTATTACAAATATGTAAGCTCATTAAATAAATGTCACGTTATACAGATCCTGTTCAATATTTAAGCGTACATTTGGAGTGGAAATATAATATTTTATTTAAATGTTTAACCCTTAAAATCTAAGAAAATTTTGGCTATTTCCAAAACTTAAAAGATAATATTTTTTGCTTTTTTAAAAAACTAATACATATGCACGGTTGCGTAGGCTTCCGCGGCCGGAGTTTATGTTGGCTGGGCTATCCGGGACAAGCCGCGTCGAAGTCATGGTGGCTGACGTTTCGGCCAGCGTATTGTGGCCTTCTTCACAATACGCTTCGGCCCGCATACGCCTTCGGCCACAATACGCTGGCCGAAACGTCAGCCACCATGACTTCGACGCGGCTTGTCCCGGATAGCCCAGCCAACATAATACATATGCACACTGCTACTAGTTTCATCATTTAACCTTTTAGAATACTATAAAAAAATGTTTTAAACGACATGTAGAGCACCTGTATCTTCCAAGAACCATGTCAGCACTAATCTTCGTAAAGGGAACGTCAGCTACCAACGGTTAATAATATTCGTAGTTTTTTTACAACATATTTTTATTTAGATTTATTTAGTAAAAAAACAGTAAAAACTGTATGTGACGTAGGGGAAGAAGATTATCTGTGCACGTTTTCGTGAGTTCCAGTATCCCCTCCCGTCATTTTAACTATAAATAGTTGAAAGACGAGTAAAAGTTTAAAATAAATAAATACAAATAAATTTTAAAAATAGCGAGATAAGCAATTTTTGAAACATTAGTAATTTTAGTTTCCGAGTCATAGAAAACTTATTTGCATCGGTAAACGAATTGAAAGTATGATTTTTCTGCATTGCTAACAAAATAGTAACTCGCCCTTACCTCTACTCTTACAATTACAAGCAAAAGGAGAGTTCAACAAAACGTGCGCCTAATGAATCTACATTTACATAGAAACTGAAAAGTGATAATATTGTTCGTTTACTACGTGGCAGATATACGTCAACAATGTTTACCTAACTATCCCGTCGGCAAAAAAGAAGTGGACACTACTGCGGTTTTACTTTCGTTTGGTGTGAGCCGACGCATTTACTAAGACGCAAACTCCTGTTACGTCAACTCTTTAGCCACAAAGAGATCGCAACAGGCGGCGAAGCTTCCTCATATGGTCACAGAGGCGGGACTCGCGCCTTCCCCCGTTCAACCCATCGTTGCAAGTCGAACAGCAGCGGGGAGGGGATAGGACTCAAGCGTAGTTTTTTTTTCTTCTTTTCTTTTTTGTTCTATCTTTGTTTAGGTATGAAGTTGCTGTGTCACCATTTAGAACTCTTATTACTAGACCTTTTCTTAACCGAAAGTAAGTTTCTCCTTTCAACTCTTATCAGATGCTTGCAAAATAATTCAAAACCGTCACTAACCTTAATAATTTCATAAAAACTGAGGTGTTCCTTTGCAATCAGGTCTGTCGTGAAACCCTAGTATGAATCGATGTAGAAAACAGTGCATTGAGAGTAACATAGTGAATGTTGAAATAGTTTGATGTTGTTGTTTTTTTTTCGCGTAAAGGCCAACTCAGACCACGTACTTGTATCCTGCTTCAGCAAGTACCTTCATCTGCGGGAGGGGGGGGGTCAGCATTTTAGCAGAATCCTAATTTTTATTCCCCAAGGTGGTTAGCCCTGGAGGTATGGATGATGATGTGATAACAGTGAACGACCATCTCTCCAAAAGACCCGCAAATATTGTAAATGTTCAAATAACTATACCCATGAAATTCTCTTTACGTCCCGATAGGACGCACTTTCGACCATACATTTGACACCCACACACTTGCGGGCTCCTCAGATATGTGGTCAACAGAATGTGAGGCCCACCGCGACATATTTTTATTTAGCCAAAGGACAAAACATCTACACTTAAGGCGAGCCTCGAACACGCGTCCCTTCCGACCGAAGCGTTGAGTCGGGACACGCTCTTAGCCACCTCGGCCACCCAGGTCGGCATGTACACGTTTCTTTCAAATATTTGTCAATTGATTCTGGACCCTTCCTCTTGTCTTTATTGAATAATATTCTCTTCAAGTACCTGAATAGCTTTTTTGTTCGATTTCTGTGGGCGTATTCTGTGGGCGCGGTTGCAATCTCTCTGAAACACTAGAGTTTTTGAAATGATCCATAGGCTTTACACATGCTACACATTAAAAATTTCAGGCTCGGCGATTTATTTAATTTGTACATTTAGATATTTTAAGATTTCAAAATAAATTCCATGAGCATATTATTGAAATTGAGCCTATAAATTATCTGTAGTCTATACTTTTTGCTAAACTATTTATTTAATAATTTATTTATTGGGTTTCTTTTACGTGCAAAGTATTATTTTAAAATAGAAAATGTAAATTATATCCGTTTTTATAATTGTCAATAAAGTCGACCCCCTTTGGTTTGTATATTTTCAAATACTGCATTGTTCGTAAAGAGCAAAAACTTATTGAATTAATGAATACTATCACACCTTTTCGTGTTCTGCAAAGTGTTTATGTACTGTATGTACGACACGTGCTTATAAACAATACGTGTACTGTATTCCTAATCTGGACGTTTTGCCACTCCCGTCCCCTCCCGGGTGGCAGGCTTTCGAAAGCTAACAAGCGTAGGTATGGAACGCACCTCATAGACGAGCAGCACGCTGGCCGCCACTTGCACGGCGTTGTACACCGTCATCACGTGGGTGAGCGCGAACGGCTTGCGGTTGCTCATGAAGCGGGGGCCCGCTTTGGTGCAGAAGTACAGGTACGACATGAGCAGGATCACCAGAGGTGCCGGCCCTGACATCAGGGGCCACGACGCCGTCCGCGGGTCTGTAACAAGAAAAAACCAACATGAAGTGCAATAGATTTGACTTCAACGTTCGTTAGTTGCCCAGAGACAATTTCTTTTATCGCAAAGGTTATTGTCAAAAAAATTAACCTGAATTAGAAATGATGGTTCAAAATATAATTTGCAGCTCAGATCTCGAATGTTTAAGGTAGAAAAGAATGAGGAAGTCATGAAATTGCCAATTTTTTATTACAATTACCCAGTGATCACAAGTGATGTATAGTATATGTATCCATGCTATAGCATGCATACGTCTTATGATCACTGGATATATGTTAACATGAATGTTAAGAATCCGTCAGAGCACATCATCTTCAACGATAAAATTGGTTAAGAGTTGTAATTTTGATCCTGATTTCATGTTAAGTTAGATCATGTTGCTAAAACTACTCTGTTTGTAAATATACTTGTGAATTTAACAAGATGGGTACTCAAATATTTTATTGTTAATTGTTAATATTATTGTTTAGTATACATACAAGGACACATGAAAATGAATCAACTTCTTTTTTTTAATTAATGTTGTGTAACGAACTGTTTTAAACAGTAGCGTAATGCGACACAGGAACACAGGTTGGAGAAAGGCTCATGGATTTGTGATCACCCGACGGCTCGCCGGCATATACAGAGCTAAATTTCAATACTTATATCTCCAAGACAGACCATATTCACTTTCAAATTCCACTCGTGTAAGTCTGCTCTCAACTCGTATTCATTGCCTTTCATACTATTGTAACTAATCTCTCATTTCACACACGTTGTATTTGTACGTTCCACCTGACCAGTACTCGTCACTTTACCGTACACACTTCCATTGTGAACCTTCCTCTACCATTTCCTGCATCTCTCTCTTCTCTCCTTCCCTCATCCCGTCTCTTTCACCGCTATTCCTTCCTTTTCAATATACAGCTGTCCAGTCCTACCAGCAACAAATTGAAACCACAAGTTGTGATGAGCGCAACGACGTCACCACATTATTTTAAAATCCGATGAGGTAGATTATAAATTGCATAATTATTGCGATTACTCGTGTATACGTCATCCATCAAAACTAGCTTCAATAATTTTGAAAGAGGCAGACATTCTCCACATATTCTACCTTGGAAACTTTAAAGCGTTCGGAAATTAGAAGCATGTTTGTGGTCAGCTGCGCGGCGAAGATATGTTTGTCTTCTCTTTTGATGCAGCCTGTAACACTTCTTGCGAGCCGTGGCAGTCATTACTCTTGCGATAAGCCTCCGCCTTCTGCAAGGTTTCGAAAAGGGAGTCGAGCCGGAGCGATCGCCAATGCATACCAACAACAAAGGCGCGGTGACCTCCGCTGTAAGAGAAATACCGCGTGGCGTAGCTCGCAGCAATTAGAGTGAATCACGCTGCTAAATACGCCTCAGCGCACGAGCCCAATACAGTGGTGGGTAAGGAATGCGGACACTTGTTTTGACGAAAATTGTGTTTTCTGCGTTTTGCTTAAGCTTTTGCACAAATATTCTTGTTTGTCTTTAGATGGCGCACACGGTGCTTGTTTGGTTCGGGTAAGTCTGGACACCTTGTATGCCCCTGTTTTTTATTATATTAATATAATGTATTATAGCTAGTGTTATTCCGCATTCTCTTCCCGTGTCTTTGCCTTGATTTTTACGTTCTCTTACAATACGTACGTATATACGGAGTAATTACGTAGTATAGAGAATGTTATGTACTTCTGCAGAAGAAAACAGCGATTTTCGGTACAACAATTAGTATTGTGGGGTAAACTTTGTTTCTTTTCGTCTCTCTTTGTAGCATAATTTTTTCTTTCCTTTATTCTCTTTCTTTTTTTTCAACCTTGCATTATCTTCATAATTTTCTTTTAAAAAACCACCTTTTATTACCACATACGACAATTTGTGAACTTTAGATCACGGAAAAGCTATTAATATATTCCACATTATCATTATTTTAATCATTATCGTTATAATTACTATTTTCATTATTATTACTAACGACGTCATTATTGAAATAGCAACATTTTAGCACCTGCATTTACCGACCGGGAAAGATGTCCGAACCAGGCAAACCTCGCCGCTACAGTTAACACGATGACCATGCTCTTCTGAAGCGAGGCGTGTTTGCCGTGAGTGTGTTAGGGCAAACAGGGACCGCCCCCCCTCCGCCTGCCTCACGCCGACTGCGTCACTCGCCGATCGCACCCCAGTCGCCTTCCTCGCCAATGTCCAACTCCCTCTTGGTGGGGGCGATGGTGTAACGGGCTAGCGAATCGAGCTCTTATAACCAAATTTGCGGGTTCAAACCCGATCAAAGCTGTGGCCGTGGCAAGAAAATCCTTCGTACGCCTTCCTTGGGAAGGGGAAGTAAAGCCGGCTGTCCCATGTTACTGCACTGTCCCATAGATTTACTGCATGTAAAAGATCCTCAAGCCTAAATGACGCCTCTGAGCTAAATTCAAATCGCCTGTTTCTCGCCCAAGAAATACCTCCTTTCTGCCCTAGTTGGTGAAAGGAGCGTATCGAAATTGGCGTGGTGAGACGGAAGAGCGGGCCTGAAGACCTGAATCTCGTCACGGAAAATAAGGGATCAATTCAATTCAACTCTTCCTTTCCTACCGCGCGATTCACATTTCCCCCTCTCGTTTAGAATCAGTAAAGCAAATAAAAGAACAAAATATGAAAATAACAAACACAGCAAGCATGAAACAGATGTAATCAAGGCATGTTCTTTTGTTGCACAGCTCAAGGTCTTCTGTTAATATTTCTGTTCGACAGTTCTAGGTTTAAACCATAAAAAATATTTCTAGGGAAGTATATTCGACATGTTTTTAAATAAAATAAGACCGGCAATGCTGATATTGTAGTTCATAAATAATGAATCTTGATTTTTGTTTGTATGACAGCTGTCTTTGCATTTTTGAGTGGATACTCAAGGACAATGACGAAGCAATAATCCATGAGAACGATTTACTATTGCATGAAGTTGACAGATTTCGCGAGCTTGAATTCTCGTTTTCAATAAATACTCTTTTCATGTACTTTCAGATACATGAAAGCATTTGTTTAAAACCTCAATAAATACCAGATCTCTGCATTCTTGTTAATTCTAGTACATGATGCACCAGTGTGTATATAATAAAACAAATAGATTACTCTCTCAGTAAGAAGTTATTAGCAGAGTTAATAACTCAGTTTCATATATATTCCTTTGTACTGTAAACTCTTCTGTTTTTATCTCTTTCAGAATTTCGATATTTATTTTAATGCGATAAATTTAAACCCGACTTGGAGCACACAACATAAGAAAGATGTCAGGGACCACCCGACAAATATTCGAGATACGCGTGAACACGTCGATTTCTTTGACAGTTTCTATTTAAAAACCATTCGCTCAAAATCAATTATTATATCATAATTATGTAATGAAACCTTGAGAAGAGATCCTTTTCGTAGCATCTAGCCGCTAATTTCCCACTTCCGCTTTTTTGAAATGAAACTTATCATGTGGCGTTGGCAACTTGATGCCTTGGGACGCTACCGCGGGATATATTGCGAGAAACGGAAGTGACGTATTTCCACCTCTTCGTCTCTTTCGCTTTGATAGGGATATGCAACTGAGTTTGTTCCGTGGGGACCGCCGTTAGGATGAAGTATTTTGAAACAATGATGTTAGCCAGGTAGACCAGGGAATATGTATATGTATTACAACAAACGTATTTGGTGTTTGGACGAGTTATTAACAGTTTCCAGTAATAATCTTTAGATGGTGAACAATTGTGTGATTTATGTATGTAATTTTCAATATTGGCTTCTAGTTCAGTCGTTGACTTTCAAGGGCTTAAGTACAAAATTTTCAAGCATTTTACTGGTATAGGCAGGCGTTGGCTGGTTGACCTTTACGTCGCAACTCGACATTATTGTGGTAATTCATATTTGGAACAAGAGTTTCGATGGCCTTTGAAAAATTAATTTATGCCTTTATAAAATTAATTATTTTTAATTAATTTAAAAAATTAAAATTATTTATCTTTTCTCACTATTTAATGAAGAAGCATATCTTTTTGGGAGTAAATTAATTTGCTCCTTCATAAGAGCATATCATTATGGCCTAGATAATGTATTGTTTAGTAAAGCAGAATCCATTTCTAAGGAACAGTGTTCAAATCCTCATTTGTGGTAGTCGAAAATTTTTTATGACAAAATTTCCTCTCAACAGCTCCTTTTCTCCTTCCCATCGGCTCACTACTTCTGCTTTGCAATTGATTTTAATTATATATAATATTCATGTTGAACATTATCATATATCATTGTTTAAATCTCTATGCACTCATCAAAATTTCAAATAAATGAAATGTATTTAAAAAGGACACTTACGCTTCTTTATAAAAGGTTTTTATTATTATTTTATTTAATTAAGAACATAATTACTTCAAAAAATCTAGTCAATGTTCAGAAAGGTTCCTTAAGGATCCGTGGGTAGTGACCCACTTGTCACTTTTGGAGATACGTCTTGAAAGAGCATTGCAAACCAAACATGCCATAGGACAAAGATCACACAGAGCGTCTCCTACTCGATCCGTTTGGCTTAAAATTTCGGGGCCGCGTCACAAATCTCACTCCTTGCGCACTGCCTCCTGGGCCTGCCTGTAAATAAAGCAGGAAGCGGTAGGCATGGAATGAAGATAGTTACAAATAAGCTGGCAAATGAGGCGGCGGCGGTAGTGGTAGTGGGGATAGAAATGGTGGTGGTGGCGGTGGCGGTGGCAGTGGCGGAGGAGGGGGTGTTTGGACGAGAATGGAAGGGGGCGCGGCGGGGAACGGGCGGAGGTGGAATGGAGGTAGTGGCGAAGGCGGTGGGATGGCCGAGGTGGTGGTGGTGGGTGTGTATAGTGCAGCTGGCGCTGGGCGGGGCTGGAGGAGGCGGAGGCGGGCGGAGGCGGCAAAGGACGGGACGGCGGCCAGGCGGAGGCGGAGGCGGAGGCGGAGGCGGAGGCGGAGGCGGAGGCAGAGGCAGGAGGCAGAGGGGCGGAGGTGGAGACGGGGCGAAGGGCAGACCGGAGTCGAGCGAGGAGACGGAAGAAGGAGGCGGAGGCGGAGGTGGAGACGGAGGTGAGACAGGGGCGAGGCGGGAGACAGGGGCGAAGGTGGAGCAGGGGCGGAGGCGGGGCCGAGGCAGGGGCGGGGGTGGGGGCGGTGTCTAAGGCTGAGGTTGTGACGGAGGTAGGGATGAAGGCAACGGCAGCGGCTGCAGGTGACGGTGTCATTGTTTACGCGGGGAAAGCGCGTGAGTCGGGGACCAGCGACCGCACGCATTAGCGCCCGCCATAAACAGCAGCGGGCTGCTCCTGTGAGCAAATGCCGCAGACTGCAACGCGGTCGACGACGCCAGCGCTTGGGAAACGGCCTCGGGCGGTGCCGCGCCGCTCTGTCTTGCGTTGTGGCGCCACGCGACGGACCGCGCGCTCTGCGACTTTGGGAAATGTTTACCAACAGATATGTCGTCGCATTTACCTCTTTGCATTGTGACTAATGGTTGGTATCAATATCACCGGACTATAGTTCTTATTAGTAGAAGGTTTTAGAAAAATAACTGTAATACTATATATTAATCTGTAAAAACGTGTTGTTGCAACTATGGGACTTCATTAGGACGAGAATTGTAAGAGGATTTAATTTTGCCGTAATTTAGGGATTTGTTTATAAACAAACATGGTACGCTGAAGATTTTCCGCCCTTTGTAAATACTCCGTCCCTGACAAAATTAAACCTGATCCGGAGTTTAGGGTGCCACCGGTTCCTTTCGTTCACTGATTCGGTTCACTGGTTCTCGTGATTTACAAGATTATAGTTGCGCGGTTCACTTCAATGGCTACAGAATAATTTTGCTGGCATTGATTCAAAGCATAAATATATACACAATTTGACTATGCCATATAAAGCTATACATTTTGCCATAACGAAACATTTTTTTCTTCATGACGACACATTTTAAATTTCAATTCACATCTAAAATTACACTTCACAACACTCTTTCAAAGCACAAAATAATATTTTTGCTTGCTGGTTGAAATGGATTACAAATATAGACCCTATTTACTAATTAAACAGCCTCCTAATAACACATGTTACTATGACGACAAAATTATTTACTTCATAATTTTATGAATTGTAAAATTGTAAAGACGTTTTGGCGTGGATTTGCGTGTTTGTTTTGGGCATTTCAAGTTTCCTTTTAATAGTTTTGTGTATCTACCGAGATGGAAGGTATGAATTCAGGATTTATTTATTATTTGCGAGAATGGTCATAGCGAGAAAATGTCTGTGTGAAAGGACTCTTCTTATTAATTTACTGATCTTTAGTTGATAAAAAGTAGTGTGTATTTTTTTAGATAAAAGCAGATTTGGTGATACGTTAATGAATCATTGAAGTTTTTCGTATTTAAAGGATGTTATACGTAATTAGTAGAGACGTTACACTAATTTTACTACCATAGTATTTTCATACTATTAAAATTCTATAATTTCAGCGATTATGTGAGTTGATTTTTCTTTTTTCTAATAAAATACTGCTATATTTAATATAGTGTTTGTTTGAAAAAAATGATGGGTTGATTTTATATTATTAAAATGTGTGGGGGGGGGTTGGGGCCCAATAAAAAAAGTTTAAGTAGAAAGTGTTAATGAAATATACTGCGAATTCTAGAGCGTATAAAAAGTGTTAAGTAGATAGATGCTTTTTTGGTAATAAAATATTGGCTTTGAGTAGTAATGATAGTTTAAGTAGCATGTGAGTGTTAAATAGAAATTAAAACTCTTGCGATAACATGGCGAACATTACAACACGCAAATAGTAAACAAGGATTCAGTTCAGTGAGTCAATTCCCCTCTAGTGAACCGGATCAGTGAACCAAATTAACCGGTGTCACCCTAAATTTCGGATATACCAACTTGGGATTTGGAATTCAGGGTGTTGTAACACTCATAACACTTTAACTGGCACACATCTTAAAAATAATAATGTAATGTGTTCTCTGTAAGTCTTTCATTTTTTTCATTTTCCCCTTACCTTGCCTTCTTTCTTCTTCTCTATCTCCCATCTCCCCTTGCTTTCTCCCTCTCCCTCCCTCTCTCTGTCTTTTGTCTCTCTTCCTCTCACCCAATTCTTCTACTTCTCTCTCTCTCTCGCTCTCTCTCATGTCACATTACAAATAAACGTTGTGGTAAATACAACTGCGAATACAACTAAACCGACAAAACACTAATACGTGCGTATCGCTGAGCAAGGTGGCAGTAACTTACCGGCGTTCCGCTCCATGAAGTCCTTGTAGCCCTGCACCAGCCCCGACATGGTCGGCTGCGGCTTAGCGTCTGCGCGAAGGAAGCAAGCCAGATGCCCCGAGCCCGTGTGTCTCCGTCGCTCGCGTTCGGCTGCAACGGAAGAACGAGAGGCAGGTGAGACCACGTGACGCCTTTTTCTTCTTCCTGAGGCTTCCGTGGAAGCCGATACCCCGGGGACCAACTGTGTCCCTCATGGGGACACATATTAACCTTTTACACTAGACTCACTTGCGAGCTCCTCGGTCTGTGCTCAGCACACTCGCAAGGCCTTCTGCGACAATACACATACGTGAAAGACAAGTGACAAACAACAATGCCCACGGCGGGAGTCACACTTGCGACCCTTCAGACCGACGCGCTGAGTAGGCGCATGCTCTAGCCACCTCGGCCATCCAGGTCGGCCTTAGAACTCTTGCCGCATGCGAGCAGACAAATCACAGCGTCTGCATCGTTGCATCATTGACTCGGAGACCCGACGTTGGGCGATTTTCGACATGAACGTCTTGGTCGAATTCAGCCCCTGTCTGAAGAATTCCAGCGGCAGTCTCCTCTGATCGGTAGTTTTCCGCAGTTTCGCCGATCAACACTAGGCGATTGCCGGAGCAGTAGGCATACCCTACTCACTAATCATGAGAGCCGAAAATAATAAAAAGTTCTAAGAAAATGTTGACAAAAGAGCATTATTGTTTTCAAAGTATTCTTCACACATAAAACGAGTGGTCATTTCGAAAGATTCAAGTGACATTTTGTAGATTACATTATTTGTCTTAATGTAAAAGAGAAAAAGTAAATATATAAAATATGCACGCAATATAGAAACAAATTACACATAATGACGCGTCACAATAAATGCTGTGTTTTCCTAACGTTTTGATACCGTCAGGGAGCAAAACAAGGGACTCCTCTAAAAAATCATTTTTAGATTAAAAAAAGAAGTGTTTACAAAATAAAATATTTTATTAGTAAACATTTACTAAATGTACTTAAAAATATGACTGGGATATACAATGAATAAAATGTCTCTTTCCGCGATATAAGCCACTCAGTTGAAAACCGCTATCGTGCAAATTAGCAACATTTCGAAATCCTTGAGCATCGACGACATTAATTTATTTCACATTCTCACTGAAACACACTTGAAACGGGGAAAATAATCCGTTAGATATATTTGAGGAAATTGAGAAATACAAGAGCGTTTACTCATCAAATTAGTTGAGCGTTACTAGTTGTCAATGCGACAATAAATAATGAAAAGAAAACAATAAAAAATTGCGAACTTCGAGCAGTCGTTTCGCGAGTGATCTTGCACTGCTTTGCACCTCTCTTCGTGTGACAGCGCGGGAAGTTTCCGTGAGAGAGTTCTGGTTTCCTTAGCCACTGACGCGTTCCATTTCTCTTTAAATGCTCACTTGTCAACACTCTTCCCCCACTTTTTTTAAATTTATTGACCACCCGTTAGTCTGAAAGTTTTTCGCGAATTTTGAAGTTTTAGATGCATGAAGTAAGTTAAGTACATTAGGTACAGTTCTTGGGATACCCTCAAGCGAATCTTGTTCGTAAGGCGTACCTTTCGGATGAAAAATCAATTTAAGTGTTCACGTTATGTACTAGTTGCGTTTTTGATAGGCAAGCAACATGAATACAATGTGTCTGAATACAATCATGAACACAACCTGATTCAACTGTCAGAATCAATTTTCCTGTCTTTTGATAAATTTCACATTCAAATTTAACAGGTACAAATATTTACGTTTTTCTTAAAGTCATTGTGTATTGTTGGCAGTATTTTCATTATAGTATTTTGAATGCGGTCATTATTTGGGAGACTAGTTTTTCAACGAGATTCTTTAAGTCAGGGATTGAGAATGGAGGGGTGGTTTGCCAGGGAGGATAAGACGCTAATAAGAGAGGTATGTGGGATTAATGGAGGAGTGGAGACCCCACTGTTATTAAGTACATAAAAGGTATAGAATAGAGATGGAAATTCTAAACAGCTCGCAGTGTTTCACTTTGAAACGTAGGGAGTTTTTGTAGAACTGTTTTGTCAAATACCGAAGTGCGCCACAGGATCATAACATAATACTCTAATTAATCAGTAATTACTAGCATTTGGCCAGTGAGTTCTCTTCATGTTTATCCTGTAATGTTTAAGGGGTATGTTGAACCTCAACATTGTTGAAGGACAGTTTAGAGAGAAAACAATCTAAAGCCCGTCAAGTGACATTTTCATATCGACATTGACAATGTTTTAGTACATCACAGTCTAAACATATGTTGTTGAATCCAAAAATGTGTAGAAACAGTCGCTGAGCATTTCCAGCATTTTCTATAAGGTATGTTGTGTTGAAGCGCTCGTAGCTTGCAGGCAGAGCACCGTCCATCACACGGCAGCCCGAAGCTCCGCGACCCACAGTTCTTAAACAATCACCTGTATTTTCATATTGTATACATTGTGAAACATTACTCTCTTTTTCATTCCCCACAAATGGCCGGCATTAAACATATTGTGCTTGCAAGCACAATATACGTAGCAGTACCATGCTGACGTATCCAGCTTGTCCTTATAACCTCTTTTTCCCAGTGACTAATTTTTTCGTATAATACAAATGTCAAAATTATATAGGCTATACATGCTGAAAGGACAATGAAGAATGGGAAAACTCAAAACTGAAAGGAGCGGTAGAAGCATGGCCTTCGAGATCGTAAAAGCAAGAATGAAATAAATCTTGAGCCTTTCAAGAATTCAGCTTCAACGCCTTTGCGAGCCATTCCCATATTTCATGGTCTGCCTTGGATAAACGAGTGACAAGGCATTAAAGGCCTTGTCACTACATTGACCTATATTGCGTATGCCTAACATTGAAGAATGATAAACACTTGTTTAGTTATAAACAGCTAATTTGTTATATGTTAGTATATAATACTACTCGAGACTAGTATTATTTTAACAGTTAAGTCATATGTGTGGTCGTATGTAAGAAGAGTAAATGTTTCAATGTATGATTTTAAAAGATTGCAAATTAGGCAATGATCTGTATTAATTGTATTATACAGCCGGCATTGTCCCATTAGCACTGATACTGAAGTTAATGAAAGATATCAAATCTGAAATATTGTTGTATTTAACTCTGCTGGAATGTTTTTTGTTGAATCGACATGAAAACGATTGTGATCATATTGTCGTGAAGACATATTTGATTAAAAAAATCATGAGTCATTTTGCAAACTTTTGAGATGGTTTCCTTTTCCCATCAAAGTCCTAAATTTTCCATTTCATTATAGTAAGATAATGCTAGCTAGTATTTGGCATTATTATTATAGAATGCTTATGTTTGCCATGTGAAAATAAATAACCCGAATTGCTGACTATCTAATGTCACGTAAGTTCATAATCACAAATTTAGACGTTCGTAACCATAGCAGAGAACATAGCTGTGAATTAAACTCAGAAACTAATAGTGAAGTTGAAGATTTTATTTTATTTTAATTTTTAAGATGAGTGTATAATTTTCATTAGAAAAAGTCAGATAATTAATACTATTGTATAAAGTCAATTGCTATTGTTTTCATGTATTTAACATATAATTACGTGGTTGATCGGATTATACGTACTGAAATGAATTGGCATGCCCAAGTATTTAGGCACACACATCTCTCTTCATTACCAAAGCACTTAATTTCATTACAGTAATTAAATTGATAGAAAAGTAGTTAAATTGGCGTGTAATTTACGCGCACGTATATGTTACAACGTGATAATACGTAGAAAGTTCATTGAACTTCGTGCCTGAAATATGCAATTTATGATAATTCCCCAACAGAAGGACGTGGGATTTCAAAACGTAAATACACATTTCTTGCATCATGCGAGGATCTTGTCTCTCGCACATCTGAATTGCGTTTCATTTGTCGTTACCATGCACGTGGAAGCTGAATGACGATGTCGCATGCGCGAACTTTGCCGTGGAAAGTGAACAGGCGTCAATGGCGTGATGTAGGATTCTTTTACATCGAACCGATGCCACTCCTCACTTGCAGAAGAGGGTCACATTCTCTAACGTAGCCCACGAAGGAATCGAATCCACTACGTGCGCCTCGATATTGGAGGCCGAAAATGGGGCACCGCGAAATCGTATAACAAAGTGTTTTGTCATAAAATCCGTGGAAAATTAGGTGATGCGCAGTCTCAGGGTTGTATTATTTATACGTAGAGACAATGCTGGAGTCTGATTCACAGCCAGCATAAATACAGCAAATGTCAATAGCTCTAAAATAATCAGCGTAGAGTTGGTCATATCAAGAAAGAAAAAAAAATTATCTTCTTAAAACAAAATTAGAATAAAATATTATTATTATTATTATTATTATTATTATTATTATTATTATTATTATTATTATTATTATTTCTATTAGTATTGTTTTAATTATTATTACTTTTAGTACTATTACCCTTAGTACCATTACTCTTAGTATTATTAATGTACAAGGTTAATTACTCTGCGTGGGGTAAGAATACGAACTCAGAAAATTCTTACGATATTGCCCAAATTATTAACAGAATGATACTTATAAATAATCCTAACATGATGTAACATATTTCCAATCTTTGCGTGTCGCTGTTTTGGTAGAATCGCACATTATTTCATTATAAATGTGCAAAAAATTAAGGTAGATAGAAATTTTTTCATTTACTCTTCCGTGATGCGGAAGGAATTAGTGGTCCTAACTTTGTATCATTGCCCCCCGTTCGGTTCACAAGAACACCCACAACCTTTTTGTTTCAACGGGCATTGTAGTCGGTCAACTCTTCGGATTTCAGATAGTGATTTTCAGGTTTCGGTGAATATCTTTGAAAACGAAAAGAGAGAAATTGTTTACTCCAAAGGAAAAACTAGTTATGACTTACTGAAGAGTAACTTCGAGCGGAAATACATTAATTACAAACTTAATATTAATAAGGAGCGGACATACATTAACCTCAAATTTAATATTAATAACGCCAACATAAAATAGCTGAAAATATTGGTTAGCCTGAGCCATGTTGTTGAAAGTTGATACATTCTTGAAATTCTTCTCGCAATATTAACTTTTTTAGCAATTATTTTAATTTTTTCATACTTGAATGAATGAAAAAGAAATATTCCATAAAGCATTATAATATACTTGCAATGTAACGCCAGGTTATGAAAAATCAGTTGTAACGAGTTTCATTTTTGCTTGTCACATTTTTTTAATTTTTCAATTGAGAGATCTAGTATGAGAAGTGTTTTTAAGTTACATGTCAAC